CTTTCGAACTGCTAGGTTGGCAGGAGCAGGGACCGAGCAGCGGGAGCTCACCCCGTCGTGGGGATTCAGACCGCTGACCTTTTGATCGACAAGTCCTAGGTTCTATGGTTTAACCCACAGTGCCACCCGAGTCAAGTATTGCAATTAATCCAAACTGCGGCAGCTAGACTGGTGACTGGGAGTGGCCGCTGGGACCACATAACACTGGTCCTGAGAGATCTGCATTGGCTCCCAGTACGTTTCCTGGGAGTTACTTTGGACTCACAGCTGTCCATGGAGGCTCAGGTTAATTCTGTGTCCAGGGCAGCAGTCTACCTGCTCCACCTTGTACGCAGGCTGAGACCCTACCTGCCCGCAGACTGTTTCACCAGAGTGGTGCATTCTCTAGTTATCTCCCGCTTGGACTACTGCAATGCGCTCTACATGGGGTATCTTTGAAGGTGACCCGGAAACTGCAATTAATCCAGAATGCGGCAGCTAGACTGGTGACTGGGAGTGGCCGCTGGGACCACATAACACCGGTCCTGAGAGATCTGCATTGGCTCCCAGTATGTTTCTGAGCACAATTCAAAGTGTTGGTGCTGACATTTAAAGCCCTAAACGGCCTCGGTCCTGTATACCTGAAGGAGCGTCTCCACCCCCATCGTTCTGCCTGGACACTGAGGTCCAGCACCGAGGGCCTTCTGGTGGTTCCCTCCCTGCGAGAAGTCAGGTTACAGGGAACCAGACAGAGGGCCTTCTCAGTAGTGGCACCCGCCCTGTGGAACACCCTCCCTTCAGATGTGAAGGAAATAAGCAGCTATCCTATCTTTAAAAGACATTTGAAGGCAGCCCTGTTTAGGGAAGTTTTTAATATTTAATGCTGTATTGTTTTTAACACTCGATTGGGAGCCGCCCAGAGTGGCTGGAGAAACTCAGCCACATGGGTGGGATATAAATAAATTATTATTATTATTATTATTATTATTATTATTATTATTGCTGCAACAGGGTCCCCACTCCCCACAGGCAGGAGGAAGGAGAGAACCCAGAACAATGGTGTGCAAGCCCTTATATAGACTTTTGAAATTGCCCACCCTGTAGCTCAAGACCACCCCCCTAAAACATCATACATACACCACAGAAAGAGGCTGTCTACAGCAGAAATTCCGTCTGCCAGGATACCTGACAATGGTCACTGATTGCTTTACCTGGGCAGCCTGGCCATTCTTTTGTGATGGTGAATACTTTAGCAGGCTCACCCTATTCATAAACAAATATGCCCTTAAGACAGGATTTGTAAGTGAAAAGACAATGGGAAGGCTTTCCCCATTTTCCTCCCTTACTGCAGAAGAATATCTGAGGTCATTGGGAGAGTCAAAATGGCTTCAGGATTGCTCTCCTATACTATTTCAGACACATGGTTTATATACTTATGTATGTATTTGCCTTGTACATTTATGAACATGTCATTTATATTTGACCTTAGAATTCTTGCAACAGCTTCTTTGTAAAAGCATGTGGAAAGGAGCTTCACACTTAACAAGAATCTCTGCATGTGCACTTTCTCTCTGCTTGTAGCCTTGCTGCAGGCGGGGAGGGAAGGAGCGGGTACACGGTTTGGGGATACTTCTGGATGCTTTGCTGTCACTTGAGGCTCAGGTGCCTCAGTGGCCTGGAGTGCCTTCCATCAGCTTCGGCTGGTGGCCCAGCTACATCCCTATCTGGACAGGCATAGCCTAACTACTGTTGTCTACGCTCTGGTAACCTCAAGGTTAGATTACTGCAACACGTTATATGTAGGGCTGCCTCTGAAGACGGTTCAGAAACTTCAGCTGGTGCAGAATTCAGCAGTCTGGTTGCTCACAGGGGCAAGACAGTCTGAGCGTATTACGCTGATCCTGGCCCAACTGCAGTGTCTGCCAATTAGTTTCTGGGCCCAATTCAAAGTGCTGTTTTTGACCTAGGACCATAGCTGTCAACTTTTCCCTTTTCTTGCAAGGAATCCTATTCGGAATAAGGGAATTTCCCGTAAAAAAGGGGAAAGTTGACAGCTATGCCTAGGACTCTGCTACACAGCTGCAAATAAAATGTGTTGTAGAGTGCAGTATACAAATGTGACACTAGATGGCGAAAGTGAGCTGTGCCAAATTTAATGCATTTTTCAAACCGCTTTTTTAAAAAGCATTTTTGTCGGAGCCAGCCGTTACAAATGGCGCAGTTTAGCATAAAATAAAGACACAGAGAGCCAGCAATATTTTCAGGATGGTATGAGCAGCTCCTTTCAAACTTCTCTCTCCTCCCGTAGCTTTTTTATTATCCTTTGTCTCTCTCCAGCCGCATGGCTGTTTGCCAATGTCTCACATTACCTACCTCCAGTCATGGCTTAAACCCACCCATCGCCTTATAGGGTCATGCCCTTAATACAGTGCAAGGCACGGGCATGCAGGTCACTGAGGTCAGCGAGGCACCAGGTGGCGCTACAAGCCTGAGCCATGACTTCATGGCTCCTACATGCCCTCTTTCTTTATTTTATTAATCAGAGTCATATATATCAGTACCAATACGGTTATATCGAGCGCGATAGGCGACTCTTGTGAGAACCATGCAGTACATATAGAGATTATAGAAAGAATACTTTGGATACAGCAACACAAAATAATGCAAATAACTACTATAATGATCACTAAAATCAATAAATGTCGAAGCCAACTTCCATCCGGAAGCCAAGAATATAAGAATTCTGATTCCAAGCTGCATGGTAGGCTTCCTTTCTAGTTTATTAGCCATGCACTGGTGTCACTCCTATAGCACTGAGATTGGTCACTGTATGTTCCTGTAAGAGAACAAGAGCTATTAAAAGTGAAATTCAATGTATATTGACAGTTTGGATATATGCCCCATGATTCTTTCCCCTCTTTAATTTGAAAACAAATGGGGGCAGGCTCATGGAGGGTCAATTGTACTGGAGGCCAAAAAGTTTGCTTAGGGGATATAATATTAGTAAATTGAAAAGATCCATTGACAGGCACACCATGAAGCATTATGCCGGAATGACTGGCAAAAGGCGCCATGTGCATACACAGCCAACATTTAGAAGCATGCAATAAACTGGCAAACATAATCATATCTTGTACAAAAATATTATCCCTCCATATCTTATGATAATTTTCTCCCCTAAAAGTCTTATTCAACAACGCTGTTCTTCTAGTTCGAAAGTGGCTGAGCCGTGGATACTGCCAGCCAGAGTAGGAAGCTGACAACAGCTGCTTGCCAGCCGATGAGGTGAAATATGGTGGTTTCAACTGGACTGGGTCGTCTGCTTCTCTTCCTTGTATAACGGTGCAGCAAAGGATGGCAAGGCAAATGGTTAGGAAGGCAAACACTGCCAGATGCAGCTCGTGTGCAGCACCTCTAGGTGGCGCATGCGGAAAGGTTTCAATGCTTCACCCACAAAATGTTGACAAAGTGTAGGGGAGTTCCGCATGCCTTGAGGCAGGACAACCCACTGATATCGCTGGGTGGGCTGCGAATTGTTATATACTGGCAATGTAAAAGCAAACCGTTCCCTGTCTGCTGGAGCCAGTGGGATGAAGATGGTTCAATGTGGCCGAAAGTCAATTGTTCAGAAATAAGCTGTTCAGAGACTAGCTGGTGCCGCTGCTGCGGATTTTTCTTTTGGTAGAGGCCACTGTTCTACCCACACTGGGGTATCGGTGATCCTGGTTTGCCACACTGGAAACAAGTTGTATCGGTGGCTACAGGCTGGTTTTCATTTAGCGCTGCTGCCAGCAGATGAGCCTTGTGGGTGGCTGTACCTACAGACTGACAAATGCGAAGCATGGCTGCTGTGTCTGTGGCAGGATTGTGTATTATCGGTCGTAACGCAACCTTACAATCCTCATTGGCATTTTCAAAGGCCAATTGTTTGATAATTATTTGTTTGGCTTCAGGATTTTCAATTTGGCGACTCACTGCTGTAAGCAGCCTGTCCATAAAGGAAGAATATGATTCTCTTGCCTCTTGCCTGATTGAACCCCACCTTGATTGAATACTGGGTTCTGGGATTTTTCTCATTGCTTGTTTAGCAGCAAGAGCAGTGTCCCTCAATAAGATTTGCAGCAGTGTGGCTTGCACTGAAGCTTGAGCGAAGGGACCACGCCCCATCATGGCATCTATGACGTCTGCGAGGGTAACATTTGGATTATTTCCTCTGACTTGTTGTAACAAGGCTGGAGCATAAGCACGGCAGGCAGTTTCCCATTCGTGGGCAAACAAAACACCAGCTGATGGGGGTAACACTGTATGGGCCAAAAGCTTGATGTCCTCTGGAACCAAGAGCTGGGCTAATGTGGCTTCTAAAAGCGCCTGCGTATATGGGGCTTGGAGTCCATTGGCCTTTACTGACTGTTGCAGCTCTTTCAAAATCTTAAAGTCAAAAGGTTGGTGTTGGGCTTGGGTGCCTGCCGGGGCACCAGCAGGGGGCACAATAACAGGGAATGCCATAGTATCCTGAATTAAGGAACAGGCAAGGACTGCACGTTGAAAAGGGGTAGCTGGTTCTGCCGCTGAAAGAGCAGGATCATTGCCAGCCAGACCACGGTATTTTTGCAGGATTGGGTCCTCTGGTGAGGAACTGTAGTCCGGAGGTTTGGGGTCTGGAGCTGCTGGCAAGGCAAGTATTGGAACAGACTCTAACACAGCAGGCTGGATTAAAGAAGCTGAAGGTTGTGTTGGCAATGCAGCCATGGAGATATTTTTTGGTGATAAAGAGCCCATGGCGTAACGAACCTTGCACCATGCATTAAGAATCCGAACACCTATGCTGGGGTGCCCATGAAAATGTGCACCAATCTTGTCCCAAAGTTTTAATTCCCAAGTCCCATCTGCAGGAAACCAGGGGGGAATGCTCTTCGATGGCCAGAATGAGCTGTATCAAATCACCCTCCGGAACTTCCAATTTGTTGGAGGAGAGGAGAAATTTTAAGTCTTTAAAAAATTTCTGTTGGGGAGTAGACAAAGAGCTGCCCATTTTTCTAAAATCAATATAAAAGAGAGATCAAACTCACCGGGATCTTTTTAAGATGATTAGCGCTTGCAACCCTTGCCGGGCGTGGTGAGCCGATGATATCCTTTGCTTGGATCGAAAAACCTCACACGGTTTTCTTTTAAAATCCTCTTAGTCTGCCTCAGACTGTTTTCTTTAAGTTGCCTCACACGGTTTTCTTTTAAAAGCCTCAGACGTATTCTTTTATTCAGCCTCACACGGGGCACCACTTGTCGGAGCCAGCCGTTACAAATGGCGCAGTTTAGCATAAAATAAAGACACAGAGAGCCAGCAATATTTTCAGGATGGTATGAGCAGCTCCTTTCAAACTTCTCTCTCCTCCCGTAGCTTTTTTTTTATCCTTTGTCTCTCTCCAGCCGCATGGCTGTTTGCCAGTGTCTCACATTACCTACCTCCGGTCATGGCTTAAACCCACCCATCGCCTTATAGGGTCATGCCCTTAATACACTGCAAGGCACGGACATGCAGGTCACTGAGGTCAGCGAGGCACCAGGTGGCGCTACAAGCCTGAGCCATGACTTCATGGCTCCCACACATTTTCACAACTTTTTTATATGTAATAATAATAATAATAATAATAATAATAATAATTTATTTATTTATACCCCGCCCTTCTGGCTGGGTTTCCCCAGCCACTCTGGGAAGCTTCCAACAAAATATTAAAATACAGTAGTCCACCAAACATTAAAAGCTTCCCTAAACAGGGCTGCCTTCAGATGTCTTCTAAAAGTCTGGTAGTAGTTGTTCTCTTTGACATCTGGTGGGAGGGCATTCCACAGGGCGGGTGCCACTACCGAGAAGGCCCTCTGCCTGGTTCCCTGTAACTTGTAGTGTGTAGATTCTACCCTATAAAGCCTTAAATGGCTCAAGACCACACAACCTCAAAGACTGCCTCTCCTCTTATGAACCAACCCAGACCCTGTGATCATGTTCTGAGGCCCTTCCTCATTGATCTCCTCCACGAGAGATCCAGAGGGTGGCAACACAAGGATGGGCCTTTTCTGTGGTGGCTCCCTGTTTCTGGAATGTTCTCCCCAGGGAGGCCTGCCTGGCACCTTTATTACATATCTTCAGGTGCCAAGTGAACATGTTTTCTTATAACCAGGCCTTTGGCCAATTAACATTCTATGGCTTTTAAAATGTGTTTTTATGTTGTGATCGCACACATACACAAAGAGGACTGAATCCAGCTAAGTCAGGGTGAAAGCAGAATAACTTTTGTCTGCCCTATGGAACTTCCCTTCTCTCTCCTCCTTCTATGTGCCCCTGTGCCCCCCCCCCCCAGAAAAAATTCTGCTCTGGAGGGATGGTGGAAAATCCAGAGAAGATTTGGGGAGGTGCAGGGAGAGGAGAGGAGGAGACGGAAAGAAGGGGGAGTTCTGTTGCACTTGCGGAACTCATTTTGCTTTCACAGTGGCTTAGCTGGACTTAACCTAAACCATGGGTAGGCAAACTAAGGCCCGGGGGCCAGATCCGGCCCAATCGCCTTCTAAATCCGGCCCATGGACGGTCTGGGAATCAGCGTGTTTTTACATGAGTAGAATGTGTCCTTTTATTTAAAATGCATCTCTGGGTTATTTGTTGGGCCTGCCTGGTGTTTTTACAGGAGTAGAATGTGTGCTTTTATTTAAAATGCATCTCTGGGTTATTTGCAGGGCATAGGAATTCGTTCTCCCCTCCCCCCAAAAAACCCCAATATAGTCCGGCCCCCCACAAGGTCTGAGGGACAGTGGACCGGCCCCCTGCTGAGAAAATTTCCTGACCCAAGTCCGAAACTGTCCTCAGGAGGGCAAATTGCCATCCTTCCGCTGACCTCAGTAACATCAGACTGACCTCTAAACCAGATGCCCAGCAGAATTTGCACTGAAGGCCTCGCTCTGGAAGCACACAGCCTCTCTGATGAGCATGAATGCCATCCTTTGAACTTGGCCTCCACCCATGCAACTGAAAGTGGAGGCATATATTTCATTATTAGTTAAAGTATTTCTGTTCCAAAACATGGAAATTGGTGCTGGATGAACAAATAGGCCTATGGACCTTTTAGGGGCCCCGTGGCAACAGATCAAAAGAATATTGATTTGATCTTAAAAGAAAATGACAATACAATTATGTTCAATAACGTAACACAGTCATACCTTGGATTCCGAACGCCTTGCGAGTCAAACGTTTTGGTTCCCGAATGCCGCAAACCCAGAAGTGAGTGTTCTAGTTTGCAAACGTTCTTTGGAACCCGAACATCTTATGCGACTTCCGCGGCTTCCAATTGGCTGCAGGAGCTTCCTGCAGCCAATCGGAAGCCCTGCCTTGGTTTTGGAAGTCAAATGGACTTCCGGAACGGATTCCGTTCGACTTCCGAGGTACCACTGTATGTCAAATTGTTTAATAACATTAATGGTTGTTAATGGTTGTTTTGTGTAATGAAATTAGTTTATTTTATTATTGGTTGGTTAAAAAAAACATATTAGGAGATAATTTGCAAGCCCCACTCCCCTGAGATTTCAACTGCCTAGGACAGGGGTCTGCAACCTTTAAGACAAAAAGAGCCACTTGGACCCGTTTCCGAAGAAAAAAAACCTGGGAGCCAGAAAACTCGTCATTATAAAAATAACTTTTTTGTCACTTTTTTTTATTATTTCTTTGTTTGACCCCTCAGAATTACTCCTCCTCATAGAAATAAACGTTAAATGCACAAGTTACCTTTTTTTGGTGTGTGTTCTTCACTCCCCTTCAAAACAGTGACCAGCGTACATGCCCCCTTTCAATGCAGTGACCAGCGTACATGCCCCTTACAATGTAGCAGGCGGGAAGGTGACGTCGGGACGGTGCGTGACTAACGCACGCACTGCCCCCATGCGATGTCACAGCCAGTACAGCGCCCGCCACAGTGGGGAGTGTCGGGGCGCACAATGCGCCTCCTCCTCTCGCTAGTATCCGCCCCGGAGCCGTGGCAAAGGTGTAAAAGAGCCACATGCGGCTCCGGAGCCGCGTGTTGCCGACCCCTGGCCTAGGATAAGGTTACCAGATTTTTTTCAATGAATCCAGGGAAACTTTTCAACTTCGATGGATTTTCTATGGGGACTGATTTGTAAATCTGGGGACTGTCCCCGGGAAACGGGGACGTCTGGTAACCTTAGCCTAGGGGCCTCCACAGGGTTTAATCCAACACTGATGGACTGGACGCCCTCCATCGCAAGGGAGTAACGATCACAACTTTAAATGAAACAAATACATTAAATACATTAAACTGCCACAATATGAGCAGCAAAGCCGACAACATAGTAAAGTGCTGAGCTGGCAGAATGAGTGGTACTCCTTCACCCTGTTTTAATTCCCCACCAGGTTAAAAATGCTCTGCAGATAGAAAAGCAACTAAGCAAAAGGGCTGAGACAGAACTTTCTCTCCCTGCAGTTTTTCTGGGCTTTTTTTTTATATTTGCAAGGAAGATAGAGTAGCCCTGCTTTCTTCCCTTTCAAGGGCTGCCTAACTAGTCCAATTAAAAGATCAACAGCATACAAAGAGAGAACAGGGAGATCTTGAGGTTGCCCATCAACGGCGCCTGAGCGACTGACAGAGGTCGTTTGCTCGCCGCCTTTCTCACTAGAGCAAGACGCACTGTATCTTGGAGCGGGTGGAGTAGCTATAAAGAAACGAGTGCTTCTGTTGTTGTAAACAAAAATTGCCCTTTTCCCTTATGGGGTATCCAAGAGCCCATATAGAGTCCTTACACAGGTTCCCTATTGGTAGGAGAAAATAACAGAGGCCAGCCAGAGAATATTGAGAAGCAAAGCAGCTAGTAAGCTTGATCTTTACTGATCTGTTGCAACAGGGTGCTCCCCTCACCCGCAGGAGAGAGGAGGGACCCAGAAAAAAGGCATGCAAGGCCTTATAAAGACTTTTGAAATTTCCACCCTGTAGATCAAGACCACCCCCAGAAACATCATACATACATCACAAAGGTGGTGTAACCTAGGACCACCCCTCAGATACATCACACCTACATCACAGAAAAGGCGGTCTAAAACAGAAATTGTTTTTCTCCTGTTGTTGTTTATCTCCTGTCTGGCAGGTTACTTGATTGGATTGCCTGGGGAGCCTGGCCATTCTTTTGTAGTGATAAATACTTAGTTCCTGGGCCACATCACAGGCTCACACCCTATTCATATCTTAAATGTGTCCTTAAGACAGGATTTGTGAAGGAAAAGACAATGGGGAGGCTTTTCCATTTTGACCTTGCAGAGAAAAGATTTGGTCAGTTTAGGAATCGAAATGGTTCCAGATTGGCCTTCCTGTGCTGATCTATGTATGTGCTTGGTTGGTACGCTTATGAACATTACCATATATCTAGGACCTCAAAATTCCTATCACACTGTGTGCATGCTAGTCAGTTACCCTGGCAAAATGTGAAGCTTTCCCTAAGCTGTGCAAATCAAATCATTTCCTCTTGGCACGGGGGTTTCGCGTTAAACGCCACTTTCCCTCTTCCTGCCTCTTGACTTGCCCTGGCTCTGCTCCTACTGTATTTGGGTCCTGGGCCTGTTGTTGCAGGGGGGTGGGGTGGGGCGGGGCGGGGCAAGCAAGCATCTCACTAGCTGCTGCACACCTGACACACAGTGTTTCCTGAGTCTACAGCCTTTTGTCCTGCCCCGTGTGGCCAGGCACACCTAGGCTCATTTTGGCAAACTATTTGCATGGGGAGCCAGGACCGCCAGCATAAAGGGACATTGCATCCTCATGGGGGGGGGGGCGGACAGACCCCTATTTGTTCCAAATTTTTTTAGAGGTCCACTCCGACGCACAAAAGCACCGTTTCTCACATTGGTGCATGCTTGCCTGCTTCCTTTGCACCCAGTTGGGCTAGTGTAATAACTTCCTATAGAGGGCATGTAGCAGGAACCCCCCACCCCAATCATTCAGTTTGTACAAACTTCACACACTCACACTCACACACTACATATGCCACACTTCTGTTATAAATTCATAGAAAAATCAACCATACATCGGATTTGCACTGTTCCATTTTTATTTTACTCCATATGACAAGGACTATCAAAGGGGGGTGGCTTGGTTCTGGTCAGCTATAATCCCTTCACCATCCCAGCACATCCACAGGAGCCCTGCCCAGTTGCTATGCCAACCCTGATGGTCCTAGACAGAAGACCATCAAGATCACAAAGAACTTGCATATGGGAGTGGATTCAGCATGGACTGAACAAAGGACAATGATGAGATCTTCCCTCTGGGGGCAGGAAACTGCCAACTCCCCTTTGTCTCCTGGAAGTGACTCATGGGGAGGGGGAAAGGAGGAACCAGCCAGGTGACAGGACACTCAGGTTACCACCACAACTCCTCCCTCAACCCCTCCTTTCTGTAATGTATGCATGATGTTTCTGGGGGTGGGCTTGACCTAGAGGATGGGAATTTCAAAAGTTTTTATAAGGTCTTGCACACCATTTTCTGTGTCTTTCCTCTCTCTTGCAAGTGAGGGGAACACCCTGTTGCAACAGTTCAATAAAGGCCAAGCCTACAGGCTGCTG